GTGGGTTGCAGCACTTCTCCCAACCGATTCAGCGTCTTCAGATCCTCGATCTCCTCAACGCTATGGACGTCTTTGCCTCCTTGTCGTTGGAGTGTCTGTCCGGCTAACATGTCTGCACTCGCGTTCCAGTCTCGTCGAACATGTAGAAACTCGTGTCTGGGGCGTTGGCGCAGCGCGTTCCACGCCTGTTGTCTCAACAGCTTCAATCCGGGAGATTTACAGTCCATCTCTCCTCGCATTTGGCGAACCACCAAGTTGGAGTCACCGCATATGATTAGGCGTGCGACATCCAAGTCTTCTAGGAGCGAGAGTCCGAGTAGCATGTCCCGGTATTCAGCTTCGTTAGACCTTCCGCGTATCCGGACGCGGCTTTTACCACGTCCCAATTCAGCAGCTGCCAGACCACTGCGCTGAATGCACCACCTTCGCGTTTGACGCGGGCTGATCCGTCGAAGCTGATCACGTGGAGGCTCTCGGTCGGTCCGACCGGTATCGCAGCCGTCTTAGCCGGGCGTTTTCGAGGCGCGATATCTTCCAATGCGGAATCTACATGGGCCCGAGGCGTGATGCTTGCAGCCAACGCTCCCAGAATCTCTTCTTCCCCTTTCGCCGACCGGAGGATTTCCAATCGCCAGGGGGGGAGGATGGCGGCCCATTGCGACAGACGACCTTGCGCTCTTTAGACCGGAATAGCCAACCCAGGGTTGTATGTCGGGTCAACACGCGTATCGTCTTTCCCACCAACATGTTGTGACACTCGCTCAAGACACGCGACAACGCTAGGATCTCCTTCTCGGTGATGGTGTAGTTCAGCTCGTTGGGCTTCAACATCCGGCTAGTGAACTTGACAGGCATGTACACTCCGTCATGCTCTTGAGTGAGGACGGCCGACACGGCCCAATCACTCGCGTACACAATCACCACTGGTTGTCTATCCGCGTCGGAATGTTTTAGCATCGGGGTAGCCGCGATCTTGCTGCGAAGTGTTGCGAACGCGCGTTCAGCGTGATCCCACTTTTCCACGTCACGCGGTTCTGGGTTCGTGGCGCGTTCCTCGAAGTCGCGTGCGGAGAGGGAGTAAAGCGCGGTGGCAAAGATCGCAAAGTCGGGGATAAGCGGTGGTAGTGCTTCAAACTACCCAAGAACGATTGCAACCACTTTTACGTGCGCGGAGCGCCGCTAGTGCTTCCAAGTTCTTCGGCTTCGCCCCGAGTCCGTTTTCCGAAACCTCGTGCCCCAAGTAATCCACTCTTGGCATTCCCCATTCGCTTTTCTCGACACTGATCGACAGGTGCCACTCCTCGCAAACCTCGAGGAGACGTTCCACCTTCTCGCACAAATCATCCCAAGACTTTCCCCCGATCAGAATATCGTCAATATAGGACCGTCGGCCAAGCACGGACCGTGTTCCGGGCTCGGACGGGACCCTGTCCTTGAGAACGTCGAGGGTATCTTCAGTCGGCGAGAGTTTCCAGAAACCGTACAGCGCGTTGTCTATCAACCGCTGGTGTATCTGTGGCGCGTTGCACAAACCGAATGGCATACGCAGCCACTCGAACAGCCCGAATGATGTGATGAACGCGGAGATGAGACGGGCTCGGTCCGTCATCGGGACTACCCAAAATCCGCTGGCCATGTCTAAGGAGCAGTACCATCGGTACTTATCCAAGTCTTCCAAGAGGTCCGTGACCAGTGGCATCGGGTACACCATCAACTGGGTCAAACCGTTGACCAACCTGTAGTCGACACAGAGTCTGATGTCGACGCCATTCTTCTTCACGATGACAACGATGGGGGAAGCCCAAGGTGACTTCGACGCGCGGATCATACGCGCGCTGAGAAGTCCTCGGATCAGATCGGCTAGTTTCTCGCGAAACTGCGACGAGATCTTCCGGACGCGTTGTGCGACGGGCCTCGCGTTTCCCACATCGATGTCGCAGATGACACCCTTCGCTGCGGGTGGCAAAGCGTTGCCCTTCCCGATCAACCATTTACGCTTCTTCCAGACGATCTGGTGCAGCCGTTCTTCCATCTTTGCTGCTTCCTCCGGGTCAACTATTTTTGCCCGATTTTGAGGTCCTCGATCTTTACTTCTGCCGTCAACGGAACCTCTGGCAACACTGCCATTTCGGCTTCCACGTCTTCTGCGAATAAGTCTGACCCTTCATGGAATATCACCTCCTCGTCGGCGTACTCGTACTCTGGAATCTCCTTGAAGCTAGGGTCGGGCTCTTCCGTCGACCCCATCTTGAGATGCGGTCCGTGCTTAGGCTCCGCATCACTGTCTGGTCCGTGCTCGTGCTCCGCGCCCAGACGCGTTCCGTGCTCGAGCTTCGGAGAGAGGGCGTCCCGGGCCTTCACCGTACCGGTGAACTCAGCATTATCTTCCCGTGAATCGGTTGATATCGCCGCTACCTCTCCCTTGGTGTCCTCCCTGCGGGTTCCCTGGCTTCATCGGCCCAGGATCGCTTGTAGATCGGCATACTCTCGCCGTTCCGTCATTGGACCGCTAGTCTCCTGGAATATGGCTTCGTCATTTACGTCCGCAGTTGCTCCGTACGCCAAGTTTTGCCACTCGTCATACTTTCGCGATCCAGGTTGTACGAACTTAAACGCGCGAGGTACCGCGTCGATGGGCGTCCACCATCCAATCATCCTATGTGCATCTAGCACGGTCGACTTCTCTCCGATGTTCGTAACACGCAAGTACGTGCGACGTCCTACTGGAGCCTTGATCAGGGAAGTTACCCACATCGCTCCTCGTGTCATCCACAAGCGCGGTACACCCTTCTCTGATCGTTAAGGCACGTACCCGAGGCGACGCGGATCAACGACGACCGGACGCATCCGCGATCGGTACAGCGGTCGTCTCCCGATCATCTGAATACAGACTTCGTCTGGGAGACATGTTGTGCCGTCCGCGGTATCGATCCGCACCCCTGCAGGTACCATGAAATTCATCCCGAAGATCGCGTTCTGGCCAACGAGGTCTCCGACCCAGAGGTCCATGTATTACATCATGTTCCCCGCCAGCGTGACTTTGACGCCGTCTTCCCCACCGTGAAGTATGTTTCGTCCCTGATGCCCACACATTCCTGTGTTACACTCGTATAAATTTGGCAGCCTACCTCACGAGCAAAGGTGGTGTCCACGATGGACACCTCGGCGCCTGTATCGAGCAGCAGCACGGCTTTCCGAT